CGCAGAAAATTTCTTTAGAGAACATTTCAAATTGACCTAAGCAAATGAAACCAGAAGTACAGTGGCAACTACAGTAATTCAAACAATGTTACAGCAGAATGAAGCAGTATCCCARTCTAAGGATTCTGGAATAAAGGGACAGGTAATATAGCTATTAGCATATGAATAGGAAGATGGATGGAGTATTATCAGTGTCAGTTAGGACAAGAGAAGATGTATTGCTCAATCTGCTCTCTAAATGAACTGACACACCGGGTTTTTAACTCAAAGCACAGTATCGGCAGCAGACGGGTGAGGGGATGGTCTTGCTTCATCCTTTGCATGGCCTCACGGTGTTAACAGATCTTCAGCTCTTCTCCAACTGTAAAAAAGAATCAATTTCAGTCTCACAGCAGGGAGGGCAAAAGAACTCCTTTTCCTGATCACCCACAGAGCGATCACATTTCAGTCAGCTTTCTGCTCTCCATCAGCATCAGGAAACCTCCAGGCTGCGCTGAAGTTTGCGCCAACCCCGAGCCTCTGGCAGCCACACCCGGCAGGGCTCTGCCCCTTTGGGGACTGTCACACCCAGTGCAGAGGGAGCTGAATCCTCCTGAGAGACAGAGGCGGGACTTCTCACCCACCCTGCGTGTGTATTTTTCACAAGTTTGCCTTTGCCCGTGCTCGGTTCAACGCAGCATCACTGACCTTTGAGACYGTCTAAATCCTATATACAATAAAGCATCAGGTTTGCATGCTCTGAATTGCTTCCTGGAGGATCTTCCCACAAGTGATAAAGGGAGCCAACACCCTAATTTAGTCTTTTTCAGTATCCTGAAATGCCATCATCAGTATTCTTCTGGATAAAGACTCCTAAATTCCAGGTAAATTGCTATTTCAGCAGAATTTAGGCAGCCTAGTCTTTGAAAGCCTAGCTTTTAAACCTTTTGCCATTTTGCCTTTTGCCAATGACTGTGCCAAGAAGCTCAGATAGAGGCCCACAAAACACCATGGGATTCCATAAAAGAGAGTCTTGGTAGCCTGGTGGAGAGTCCTCACCTTTCACTGAAAAATTTCTAGTTATTTTCTTTGAGATCATTTGGAATTTGGCACAGACACAAAATCCAGCACAGTCTAAGCATAGCAATTGCCTTTTAAACCAAAAAAGGGTATAAACTAATGAATTTTACCTTGTGAAAGGACAATCTAACAAAGTATTGTGGCACATGCTAGAGGTAGTCATGTAGTAAATTTCAATGTGTGCTTTCCTCATGTGTCATTTGCTCATTATCAGCTGTTGCCTAAATCCAGCTTCTGAGTTTCCATSTATCAAGAACCTGGAGCTGGAGTTCCCCAGATGCCACTCCTACTCATTAACCCTATTTCACACACTCAAGTTTGAATATGATGGTTTTGTAGCTTKCTGAAAGGTATAGTTCAGCTGGAATTATTGTCACTTCAGAAATATGTAAAATGGAGAGAAGAATGTGTAGTATGTTATTAAAGTCATACATAACATTCAAAACCCAGAGATACACCCCTCTTCCCAATGCTAAAGATATTGTAAAAATATTTTCAGTAGCATATTAAAGTAGAAATTGTGCTTTTCACTGTAATTTGAGCAAGGAGACTTGTGGYAATGCCTTTTATGCTTCTATGGGTTTGGGTTTTTATGAAGGGGAGAACATAGGGTGGAGTAGGGTGGTSGCAAATGTGTTTCTGGCCTGAGAAGAAATATTTACAGCTGTTCTGGAAAGCATGGGGTTCTTGTGCCATGGCCAGAACAGAACTCTGGGAAATCTCAGTTTCTGTGAACAGAAACAACATGGGAAGGGCCACCAACAGCTATGACAACACACTGGGTGATTTTAAGGCAAAGCATTGACCTAATTAATTGTAGTTCAGAATTCAGCAACAAAAGTAATCAAGTATTCTGTTTTTTTTTATTCAGGAGTGCTTTCAAGGGGAGAAGTGACCATTATATTATGCATGAATTGTGAAGAATTTCACACCTTGCACTTGAAGCATGCTTTTGATCGATGTTTGTTTAATTTGAATATAGGAGCAGATTGTCTTTTACCTCCCAGGACAGTCTCACTTCTGAATTTTCTGTGGTAAACAAACACTGTCTGATCAGCTCCTTTTGCTCTGAGCTGCACTGTCTAGTTTAAACTTTGGTTCCTGCTATGTTTTAKCCACTACCTTAAAGAGCCTATTAGTACCTGCTGTTATATCCATGTGGTGGTACTTATACAGTGGAATCACATGACCTTTTTTCTTGAAAAGCTGAATAGATTGGGCACCTGGAATCTCTCCCTGGAGAGGAATTACTTCAAATTATTTTTAGGATTCCTTTCTTAACCTTCTCAAGCATTTCAATTTTTTTTTTTTTTTTTTTTTAACGCAGACACCAATACTGGACAGCTTCCAGTATTTGTCTCACTGGTGTTTCATGCAGAGCCAAAATCTTCTATTTCCTACTTGTTGCTCCTCRGAAACATCCAAGGATAGCTGTATCTTCATTAGGCCCCTTTTCCCTAGGAATATAGGACAATTCTTTTGTACTCTGACCTCCAAATCCTTCCGTGTGTGCAGACTAAACCACACATTCCCTACTACCGCTCCAGAGTGGCTGGCACTTTATCACTGGAGATGTGTTCTTACATTAAGCTCTAATAAAGCACACTGTTTCAACTAAGTTCATCTTATCGGGTCTGTGACAGGTTACAGTGTCATGAGAATGTCATGTACCATTGAATAGCACACTTTTCAAAAACCTGTYATGGACATTGCTGCGTAACTGTACCAACCACACTGATAGCTTCTTCACAAACACATGAATCATGTTTGCTTGGCAGGCCACTTCCCATAAAAACAAACTTTGCCCATACATTGGATTTTTTTTTTCTCTCTTGTTGTTCTTGGGGTTGGTTAATGTCAGCCTAATCACCCTATAACTAACTAGTCACCTTAAATAGTTTTCCTGGATCTTATAAGGAAACAGAACACTAAATCTTTCAAGATTTTCTCATTATGCCAAGATTTACTTGAAGTAATGTCAGAAAGATGGTTATTCTCTCAGTCCTCCTGCCCATTCTTTTGGTACTGTGTTGATATATGTGTGCTGTTTTTCTGGGTCTGCTGTTTTTTATATATTCTTAAGAGAAGCTTCTTGATATCTCKTTTGAGTCCATAATCTAGCAAACATGTCCTCCCTTTCTTTCCAAATACAATCCTGAAGTATTTATTAATAATCGATACCTTTTTTTGCCTTCTCTTCTAATAACACTCCTTAGGCTTCTAAATATAGAAATAAATTTATTGCCCATAGCCCTTCCAGGCATGGATTTTCCCCTTACRGGCTTTTGCTGCTGTGATGAAATCTCAACGCTTTCTAATTAATGTTGATTGCCATCTACTTTTGCCTTTCAATATTAGTTCTACATGGTAATTTTTTTCTTATCATTTGCTGACTTCACTTTTTCAAGAATGGGTTTTCAAGGAAAGTTTTCCTCTTGCTTGATGGTAGACTTTTTAGTAAATCACCATATTGCCTGTAAACTTAGCTATTTTATTCCCGTACACGCATTTTTCTCCCAAATGCACTTTTTTCAGCTTTGGGGAATTCACTTTTTCGAAGCATCATGTGTGTGTGTAAAACATGKCYAAGGCTTGTYTGCTTGGATCATGGGCAGCTATGAATATAAAGTGGAAAAAGGCAAATATTGACATGAGATACTCAGGCACTCATTGAATGAAAGTGAATGGTATTTCCAGCAGCAGRTTTTAGCAGCAGGGGCTAAAATAGCCACTACCTATTAATCTTGTGAGACATTCTTTTGTTGCTGAGCATAGCGATGGAAAAGTGGAATTTTGGCCATCATGTACACTAGTATAGAGCAGAGTCCAGCTGTGTTTTGATCCTTTTGAAAGGCGTCAGACTCACGGCCAAAATTCTTTTGGGGTGTTTCATACACTAAAAATCCCCGAGCCTGGGCTGTCACCGAGCCAAAATGAAACACATAGTTTAACTGCCTCCGGAGAGCAGCTCCACCATTCTCTGAGGCTTTGCCTTTGAGGTTCTCTGTACTCCTGTCAGTCACACCTGACTTATGTAAGCACGCCTGTCCTTCCCATTCCAAAAAGTACAGCCGGGAACGCATTCGGTGTCTGTTTGAAAACCCCTGTACGAGAGAGCACCACTCTGAGCTGCGCCCCATCGTGACACTGCAACACTGACACTTGCAAATTCCTCATCGCCTCCTGCAGCAGCCAGGACAAGCGGGAAAACCAGAGCGCAAGTGAAGCCGAAGCGGGCGCTCGGCTGTGCCGGGCTGCGCTCCCAGGATCCCGGCATTCGGGAATCCCGACACGGGCGATCCCGAAACGGGCGATCCCGACACGGGCGGCCCCCGCCACCCCCGCGCTGCCGCCCCGCCGCCACCAGGTGACGCCGCCGCTCCGCTCCCGCCGCCGGCGCTGCCCCTCTGCCGAGATCGCTCTGCCGGGAACCCCTCTGCCAGGAGCCCCTCTGCCTCCCGGGAACCCCTTCGGCCGGTAGCCCCTCTGCCAGGAGCCCCTCTGCCTCCCGGGAACCCCTTCGGCCGGTAGCCCCTCTGCCAGGAGCCCCTCTGCCTCCCGGGAATACCCTCTGCCGGGAGCCCCCTCTGCCGGGAGCCCCCTGCGGGACCGGGCAGCGCAGCCCCTCCGCCAGGAACCCCGTCCAGCGACAGCCACTCCACCGGGAGTCCCTTCCGCCAGCAGCCCCTCCGCGGGGCCGGGCAGTGCCACCCCTCCGCCGGCAGCCCCTCCGCGGGGCCGGGCCGGGGCCGAGCTCGCACCGGGAGCCGCGCCGCCGTGTGCGCGTCTGGAGCTCCCCCCGCGCCGCGCCACCTCCTCCGCGCCTTCCCCGGCCGCGCTGCCAGCAGCGGGGGAAGGCAGCTGTGCGGGCAGGGCGAGGGAGGGGAGGAAGGGCAGGAGGGAGGAGGGAGAGGGGAGGGCGGAGACGGGGCCAGCCCGAGGAAATCAAACGGCCCCGACATGAATTAGGCAGCGGCTGCAAAGGGGAGGGCCCCCTCCCCCGCTCGCTGTCGGCTCGCCGGTCCCCGCACGGCGCCGGCGGGAGCAGCGCCGCCCCGCTCGGAGCGGCGGCTCGGGGCGCGCACGCACACACGGACCGGCGGCGGCCGGGCGGGAGGGAGGGCGGGCGGGGGGGCCGGCAGATGAAGATGGCAATGTCTGTGATCCAAGCGTGCCGCAGCCTGGCGCTCTCAACATGGCTGCTGTCCTTTTGTTTCGTGCATCTGCTGTGCCTGGACTTCACCGTGGCCGAGAAGGAGGAGTGGTACACGGCCTTCGTCAACATCACCTACGCCGACCCGGCGGCCGGCAGCGCCGAGCTCCGCAGCGAGAAGAGCGAGTGCGGGCGCTACGGCGAGCAGTCGCCCAAGCAGGACGCCCGCGGGCAGGTGGCCCTCTCCGCCTCGCCCACCGACCGCTTCGCCTGCGACCCCGGCACCCGCTTCAACGCCCCGGCGCCGGGCAAGAGCTGGGTGGCCCTGATCCCGCGGGGAAACTGCACCTACAAGGACAAGATCCGCCACGCCGCCGCCCAGAACGCCTCCGCCGTCGTCATCTACAACGTGGGCTCCAGCAACGCCAACGAGACCATCACCATGCCCCACGCAGGTGAGCCCCGCCGCTCCCCCAGCTCTGCCCTGGGGGCAGGGACGGACCCCGTTTTCCAGCCCGCTCTGTCGTCCCGCATCCTTGCGGTGGGAGCTGCTGCGGGATGGTGTCCTCGCCCCTCCTGACAGGATGGGCTGTGGGTGTCGCTGGGTGCTGGGTATCTGTCGTGGGGGCCATGGAGCACCTCTCATACTGCCGTGGCTAAGGATGGATGTGCTCCTGGCACATCCATAGCAACGCACGCCGGTGCTCCAAGGGTGAAAAGTTTGGGAGATGGAAAGTTTGGGTCTAGTCAGAGGAATGGATGGGATGCTGAGCCCATTGTGGGGCAGCGGTGTTTTGGTGTGTCCTGAGGGTYCTCTGACAGGTGCCGTGTGAGATCGAGTGTGACTGAGAGCTTCGGGAAGGGGAGAAGTTGTGGCGTTGCGGTGCAGGCTTATCAGGAGGTGCAGTGRAGTAGGGAACACCGTGTCCAGAGTCTTGGCTGCGATAGTGTAAAAGCTGTGAGGTCGAGTAGGAATGTCGAGTATCTGATTTGGTGAGAACATGAGRTATGTTGTCCAGGACTGGGATGGGGCGAGTGTTTCACTCTCCCAGGTGAATGTTTTGGTGGAGTTTGTTCTTGCAGTGTCAGCACATGGGTGGTCGGGTCCCAACATGTGCTTGTCAACTAGAGCCCAGTCAAATTCCAGTCATTCGAAACAACCTAAACCTTGGCTTATGCCCACTGAAAAAAAAAAAAAAAAAAAACCCAACCAAAAAACGGATTGTTTTTGTACTAATACTTGATTTGAAATAATGTTGTCTTGAAAACAGTTCACCAGATTTGTATTTAGGGACAGGGGTTTTCTGCCAGGGGTCACTTGTCCTTAATACCAGCTGCCTGTGCCATGGAGACAAAATGCCACCTATTGTGAAATCCAATTTGATTTCCATCCAGTAACTAATCATGCCCAGCTGTTTCATGCCAGTTGAATCTTAGTAGAGTTGGGGTAAATCGAAACACAGAAATGCTGCAAAACAGGATGTTATTCTAATGACATGCTAAATTTTCACAGTAAACTAGCTAACTTGGATGTGCTGAGAAGAAATTTGTTGCCTAACTATAGTGYTATWATACTGCTGATGCAAAAGCAGCACWTTTGGAATCTCTTGTGTCYGGTCTCTTTCAGAGATTAACYRTTTGTGTTGGGCAAATTAGTGTTTCTTTCGTRAGGCTGATGGAAGATGGGGGATTTTTTAGTGTTTTCCTTTGGTTTTGAGAGACAAGCAAYTCATAACCTCTTGAGCTTCTTAAAACTGTGCTTTATAACCTGCCCATGGTTTAGCAGCTGTTCAGATTATACTTCTTGCTACTTTAAGTATCACAGATTATATACTAAGMAGTATAAAGCAGTAGGAGCTTGGCATACTTAGGCACCCTCAAAGTAAAGCTCAGGCTGTTTTAAAACTTAAGATGCAGCATTGCTTTTTCTTCTCTATTGAGTTTTTCTAAAACTGCCAACATGTTGGATCAATTAATGGTTTGCCTGTTTTCAAAGTATGCACTAAGCTGTTTTCCCACACAAATGGTGTTTTATTAAGAAACGGTGGGAGTAAAAAATGTGTCTAACCTTTTAAAATGTTAGAGCTTTGGTTTGTTTTAAAGTCAAAGATAAAGMAAGGAGGGAAACTTTCTTACTGAAAGTGGCCTCCCATTTAAAAGCTATGAATATAGTATCAATTATCCTGGGGGCAGCTTCTTTCATGTCATATGACTCCATAGGATTTGCTCTGAGAATCCTTTCTGAGTCCTGAATTGATACCCAGCAGTGGGTTTGTACAGCACCAGAGGCTGAAATGAAACTTTCAGAAATTAATCTGCACTTGTGGAGCACGATCAGTTAGGCTGAAGGACTTTGCTGATTGATTGGATGGGTTTTTGTTCAGCAAAGTTCAATAATGGTTGTTGGGTTTACCCTAGAGAAAACCTGTCCCCTGTGCACAATCAAAACTGAGAGGAGTTTTAGAGCACAAGTCTGCTGGAACASAATGAAAAATAATTATTCTTTGAATTTTAGCAAACTAGCAGGGATTCAGTCCTTTGCTCTCCCTCTGGTACCACGGTTACTCTGGGACAAAGTGAATGTTCAAGCTTTGTAAAATCATGGCTGCAAGTTTCTGACTTGCAGCCTTTGACGTTTGCTTGTTCCCAGTCTAAATGATAGCACAAGATTCAAGGGAAAAATGAATCAGTTTCTTGGTTTCTGAGTTCAGCAGCATCTGCAGTGCTCTGCCCACGCCAAATCCTGGAGTGGGAAGAAGAAAATTCCATCCTGGAAAATACTTGGAGGGTGAGAGGGGAGCGTGAAATATGACCTAAAAMGCAATTTAAAAGTCAAAAGGAATATGATGTTACTCCCTTTTTTTTTTTTCCTAATTTTCCTCCCACAGATTTTTTGAGGTTTCATAGAAGCTTAAACAAACTCTTCCTATACAGAAAGGTGTATCCTGTTGCATAACAAAGTACATTACTAAATAACTGTTACTCCTAAAGCAGTACTACTCCTAAGAGAGTTTTTTTTTTATATACATTTTTCTCTTCTGCATACCTTGCCATCTTTATGTTTTTGTCACTTTACCTCTTTGTGTTGCTTTTTCTGCTCCTGTCACCCTCACTCGTGTCTCTCCATCTCTATCCCTGTGCTTCATTCCTCGCTTCAACCACATTACTCTACCATTGCTACCATTGCTTTGCCCTTGCCACCTTCTTCCCAAGGCTCTCTTTCTCCTGCCAAAGAACTTACCTCATGGCTCTATGTTTAATTATATTTCCTGTTTTCTGCTGCAGTGCATACAAATGACCCTTTGCTCATGTGGTGCCTCCTGATTTTAAAATCTGTCGGCAGCTGKAGCAAGGTACTGTTCATGAAATTAAAGGAGGGTTCATAGACCTCCCTCCCACCACCCCCAAATCAAAACAGGGTAGTGTAATATCCAAGCCTGTTGCAGAAATCTTAAAGTGTGACTCCCCAGGATTTATTTATAGAGCACCACGCAGCACAGACAAAGTGTATGATTTGAAGAGTCTTTGCTTTCGGGGAGCTCGTGCTGAGGTCACTGCTCGCACACCCGGAAGGGTGAGGTGGAGTTGTGGAATCTGCATTCACAGGGAATGTGGAACTCTGGGCTTCTCCTGCCTGGATGTACTTAGCTTGTACATCATCTGCTGCAATCTGTGCAAACKGACATCTTTATTTTTGTTGGCTTGAACGATGGCATAGGAGCTGTGAGTATGGCTTTGTTTGCTTTTTKACTAAGTAGGCTCCAACCAGAGAAGGAACAAAAGCATTTAGAATTTCTATTTCAGGTGCTTTGCCTTTCTTCTAGATCAGCTTCCTTAGCAGAAAAGTACTCTAATAATATAGAGGAGTTTTTTGTTTTTTTTTTCTTCAGAAGAATAATCCATGTTGTTGGGTAGGGTTTCTCATTGAAGTTTTTTTCATAATCAGACCAAATTAGGTATTATCTAGGTTTCAAAAAGGCTCTARCCACTGCATCTACATTTAATAACTTAGTAATAATTTGAAGTAGTCTTACTACCTGTTYTAGCACATATCCTAACATTTCTTTTTGGGCTCTGAATGGACACAGTAAGAGACCCTTCCAGAAGGTGATTCAGGGTGAGAACTTCCTTCTGTCGAGTTCCTGTCTGAGGGAACCTCCACTGACCATTCTGACTTGGGAACTTCWCAGGTATTTGGGGCAAGGGAGGAATGTTACTGTGACTGTACACAATTCATATGTGGGTAAAAATCAAATCTATAGCATTCCACACATTTCATAACAATCAGTTGSAATTCCAAGGTGCATCAGATTATCTCACAGCACAGATATGGTTAACGTGTGAAGTAAACTTCATCCTACATATTTTGCACCAGGAACATATGTGAGTATTGCATTCTCCATATTCTGCTTTTCCAGTGCATCCCACCATAAATTTTAAGTCACRTGCCTCACCTATGACAGCCCCTTTGCAATGAAGGGCAGATGCCTCACGTTTTGTGATGGCTCGTGCACACAGCAGCAGGCAGCAGCTGTGTCTTTGACGTGAATCTCATAAGTGGTCTAAAGTGACTCCTCTAAGATGATTCTCCCCTCCCTCTCTGTGCCCACTGCATGAGGTGGGCATGGCCATCCCACTGCAAATCCCTCTGCACGTACTGCAAATGGGGCCAGCCTTGATCTGGGAGCATTCAGCTCAAGAACAGTTACTTCCCCTGTACTTGGGTTTTTGTTCCGTGGTCAATGACTACTCTTACCTTTTACATATTTTAAGRTGTGTTGGTAGTAGTTTGGACTTTGCCCTGTAGATGTGTGCTGATGTGCAAATTAATCACTGAAGTTGAAGATATCTCTCTTTACAGACTTAATTCAGTACTGCAGCTATGTTTGTTTCCTTACTAAAACAATTGTTTTCCTAAACTTTTGTGGAATTCTAATGAGGAAAATGTGCTGAGAGCATTCACACTGAATTTACATATGGATGAGTGTGAATTAATTGAGGACTGGAGATTTCAGCCTTCCAGAGCCTGCCATAATTATTTTCTGCTCCYGGCACCCAAGATTGATTCCTAACAGAAACTCTCTCAGTGGAGGAGGGAGATGGAGATTAGTGCATCTCTGAGCCCTATCCATTGAGGCATTGCTGGGATGTGCTGCCATCCTTAGGAACTCAGAGGAGCTYCTGGATCCATCACGTAGGCCTGGCTTTCTGCAGTTTTTGAAAATCTATTTCTCTGTATTTATGGAAACCCAGGATTTATAGCTGACAGGCTGTCCCGCTGCATTCCCTGGTGAGCCACACTCCTGCCTGCTGGTTGTGCTTTGGTGAGGTTCTAGACTGCTCTAGTGCCCATGTGTTCGCCTGTGCCAGGTGGAAGGACACTTGGTGCTGTTAGATAACTAGTTTAGCTTAAACTGGATTAAAATGAATKAATTTGACCTTCAAGGACTAGAGCAACAAAATAACATTAGTCCGTGGTACTACTTGGGACAGCCACTTCAGCTGGGCACTGAGTTTTGTCTTTGGATTAGATGTTTTTTTCCTTTTTGAGTCGTGCATCTCTTGTGTCTCCTTCAGAAC